AACTCATCGAGGAAGTCTCTTCAAATGTTGCCTATCATTTAGTATAGGAAACCCGGGTGGGGGGGGCAGCTCTTCGGTGAAATTTGAGGGGGCCAACTCATCGAGGAATTCGGTAGAAGGTTGCATGGACTAGGGGATAACCTTTCGAGATAAAGAACTTTATTCGAAGATTTGGCAATGACAAATATGCGAGACCGGATTAAAGTTTAATCATGAAGCTGCAATGACCTCCGCGTGCATCTTCATATCGGATTACCACAAGTAATATTTAATACAGGTATTGTATTCGAAGTACATGCAATTGAGCGCCAAGGGTGACGCCAGAGACTGAGCCCCGCGTGTGCTCAGCTGGAATGGACTACAACAACCCGAAGCATGAAACGCCCCATTCTAAGCTCTCGTGCAAGTGTATTTTCATTCGAAGCTGGTATGACGGCTCTTCATCTTCACTTGAAAAACCTCGAGAATCAGAGAACCATTTTGGCAAGTTCAGGTTTTTCAGGCTCGTTCTGGAACTTGGCTCCCGATAATGACGCGCAGTGCTTCCTTAAAAGGTCGAAAAGTGGGCTTCAAACGAACATGTTCGGACGTTTCACACATGTTCCCGACTATTAGCACGGGTCAAATCAACCATTTTTAGCCTCGAGAAACAGGCTCTCGAGGTTTAACCGGTTTGCAACAAATTGGGGGGGGCTTGGTTCGCTTCATCTTCGTTCCAGCTGAGTCCGCGTGGTCGGTAACACCCAAGCGCTCTAATTTGTCTTCCTCACGCCTTGACACTGTTAATAAACGACATCGTCAAAAGCAGTTTTAAATAGTTTAAATATAAACACTCAGTGTTCGCAGCGAGGGTTAAGCAGCCTTTTCGCATCTGTCGTGCTATTCCAGAAGCAAGCAGGCTTGATCAGCCATGATCTTTCATAATATGCCGCCGCCCATACCACCCCGTTTAAAAAGTGAAATGGCATCACGGAGCTTTATTTTGCAAATGCCGGGTAGAGTGTTTGCAGCCGAGTCAAAACGAAGCATTTTGAAGTACTCCGTACTTTTGATAATACGATTTAGAAAATCTACGCGGGGTTCGTCCGGCTTGTTACATAGTTCTACTGCTGGCAATATAGTACATGTATCGATTTCTGACTGCAGTACCGTATTCCTTATGTGATTGGCGACAGTCAAATTCTTGAGGTGGTCCAGCCTTTCTGCCAGCATAAAAGACACCTGCATAGAAAAAACTATATAACATGCTCAAAATTATATTGGTCGCCAAGCACATAAAGCGCAATTTAAATCAATTTGATTGGCTGCTGGATTTGTCACTATAATAATGACCGAGTGTCGCCAATCACATACGGAATACGGTAAGTATGAATACCTTAAGATTTTAGATAGCAATGTGACGAACAAATGTAAAAAGAGTATAGAGTGATCGCCGTCGTTGTGATTAGAAAGGAAAAAGACTACCGGAGGATATCAGCGAAAACATATACGTGTAATACATTCAAGTCTGTGTTTCCAGTGAATAAAGCATAAAATTGCAAAGCTATATTTTTAACTCTACACGTATTTAAAGAGCGTAATTTACGGTACGTTACCTGTAGGTCGTACAGTACAAGCTAGATTTTAATACTAACACCAGCCAAGATTATCACAGTTGGACAGCGACGGCAGGGGCGTCTACAATGGTGCTCACATGTCAACACACGCTAACCAACATGTGTCTCGAGTGCCATTGAGAGCTTTTCACAGGTAACTAACGCACACTGAGAAGCTCTGGATTATTACGTCGATAATACAATTACAGACGATATCTCTGTTTTGAAATCCCCAATAGTAATTCAGGATCCCCCCAACATACATACTTAAGATTAACTGACCTATTTCCTCTCATTTGTAAACAGTAATTCGAAAATAACGGATTTTGTTAGTTAGTGGTAAGTAACTATTGATTTGGTCCGTTCTGTCAAGTTCGATTTTAAATTGATAGCAGTGACATCCTCTTTGATTTCCCACAAAAAGAGGCGGTAAACGTTCCATCCTCATTGCATGTAAATGCATTGCCAGCCAGCCGACCCAATTTGTGAGATCTGAGTCTAACTCGGGAAAGCGAACCGAACGGTGCGACTTTGTAGTCAGAGCTTTCAATGGTGTGACTTCGACTAGGCGTTCCTGCTTCAGGATGTTTCTTATCGTTGCCTGTGACACAGCGCGCTGTAGCTGAAACACGTTTTGAGCCCAAAACGCGAGCTGGACCTGGCTCAATGATGGATTCTTGGGGCAGATCTGTCGCCGCTGTTCATTCGCTAGCCTATTTCGCGACGTGGGTGGGGCCTTAGTGGGCAAAGGTGCACACGATTTTGCAGTGTTGGGCGTGGAATTGATAAGGGCCATCGCAAGCCGCTAAAAAGTTGCGGTGGACGTCGCGTTTACACGAGCGCGGAAAATACAAGATCTAAAAAATGTGTCCTGCCGACATTGGGTTTTGCAACGGATAATAAGGTCACAAAATTCTATTTAACAAGGTCAGTAATTTCCAAAATATCGAGACGTACAACGTGAAACAATTTTCTTTATTTGTAGAATAACTGGATTTTCACATCCTGTTACGATTTTATCAGCGGAAATTCCAAACCGGTTGGCTAGTATCCCAGCCTTAAATACGATTCCAAGTGGCTTGAGGTGGTTGTAACGGTATGTGAAAGACTCCGACACTTCCGGCAGGAATTGACAATACTTTCTACAAAAGAAAATATGTTTGCGAGTGGAGAAACTCTGGCTTAAAAACCAGGAATTGCATGATTTCAGCTGATGCCTGGGTACGAGATACGACCATTCCAGCGTCTCGATACGAGGTACAGCGCGATGTAGCTTACTCTACGCATTGGTGTCAAGCGGCCGTTCACAATGTGAGCCAAGACGACAGACAAGTTGATTGTACTAGCCATCTTCTCGGTAAACAACTTCATGCCCATGATGATGTACAGATCTTTCGCTCGAATGAGGACGTCACTCCCACCTAGCAGTACAAACCCTTCATCCCTTACAGCCTTCGAGGACGTGAGGAACAAGAGCGTACCGTCTTCTCTTGTCTGAGTAATTAGCGTGTTGTAGTAGTAGTACATGCCTAGTGGGCCTCAGCAGCCGTAGCCTTCGAACGACGTCATTTGATCATGTGCCCGTTTATCAGCAGGCTCATACTCATGCCGGTATTGACGATATTGTACCATCCGTAAGCAATCGGGTACACTAGGAAAATAACCAACCCCACGTAATGTTGCATCAAGGCATTTAAAGTAACGTTACATTCGCTAGCATTCTGTGGCCAAGACGACGAAGAAGCCACCATATAGTGCGTCGGATCTCCTCTTGTGAGACTCCACAAGAAGGTGGATAAAGATCCAACCATCCACGCCATTCGAGAGAAATAGTAGGCGTCATTATTTGCCATTTTTGGCCACAAAGTAACGGCAGCACGCACGTCCAGTTGATGCAGCAGAATGAAGCTCACACCGGCAACGTATACGATTTTCTTGTCGTAGATAGCTCGAAGTGCACTGTTACTGTTCCCACGAAGGTACATGATGTCAAAGACTTGGTAATACAACACATACACGAGCTGTACGGCAATGATACAGAACGTCGGTAGCCGTAAGAGTTGCTGAATCAAATGATACGTATTTAATGCCCCATTGCGCGCATTGACAAGGATCATAAACACCAATAATGCCAGTGCTTGGGCAGCCACTACAAACGTAAATTGCAGTCTGGGTAGAGTGATTGATGCTCCTGCAATCCGATACAGAATAACATTCACGTACTTGCTGTCTTGATAAGGTGTAGCAATCTCCAGTTTATCAGCCAGTGTCGATCCACAGGTATTTGATGCGATAATTCTGTCAAAACTCTGCCTCTTTTTGGATGGAATCGTGAGTCCTTGGCCTGTACCTTGCTTGGATACCACGTAGAACATCCGCTCGCGTACTGAAGTCGGCATGTCCATAAAATCAAACCACTGAGTCGTCGGACCTTTAATTGCGGCAATGAACGCTCCTGACATACCTCGAATATCACTAAGATCGGGAATGATCTGCAATTTATTCTCGTTTACACAACTTGGAGGTTTTTTCAGTCCAACAAAAACACTTTCTCGACCGTTTTCTACCCATGTTCCAGAAGCTACCAGTCCTCCAATGTCCGCTGGAGTTACCAAGACTTGGACATACAGTACTGTACACTCACAAACTCAGAGCCATTACGACAGAGTCCATAGGCACTCACACCACCTTGATGTCCCGTCATTAGGATGCATTCCGGTCCATTAGAGTCCAAGATAGAGCACGCTCCATTCGAGAAAGTAGATTGGTTTAGAAACGTAAAATTCAGGAAACTTGTGGGTTTCTTCTCCTTCTGTGGGTAACGTTACCACGAGACTGCAGTTGCGTTGTTGTTCATAGCGCATTTAAGAACCCAGTCTCTAAGAAATAAGCAGGAGCGAACGACGCATTCTTCTTCACGACAGTGCCAATATCGTCCGTGACTAGTTCTGCATCAATAGATCCGTCAAAAAGTGGGGCAGACGTGATAGCAAGAGCCAAATAGAGTAGACAAATGCCGACGGAAACACGAGCTCGAGACGCTTCAGCTGGTCGCGCGTGCTTGATTGTTACGGAACAAGAAGACACTAGCTTGAGCGGTTGCAGCTCCCGAATGCTCATCGGCACGACGTCATTCTCGAGTAACTGGCGACGACTTAATCTTCGCGTTATCTCTTGAAATCTTTTAGGGATATTGCTCACTTTAGAGCTCACGACGATCGGTCTGCGGGAAGCAGGAATACCGTCAGCGGTCGGAGAGATTGGCGTGATCGTGCCACCCTTGCCCATTGCTCGCTTCGTCACGAAGTATGTTCTAAGTTGAGTTAAAAGTGGAACTGACCGGCTCACATCTGTTTTTTTTTTATTTACAATAAAGGAGGACGGCCCTGTTGTTAGGACATCTAGCTACCAATTCAACATGTCCACGGCAACCTGATGAGCAGGGGTCTGTTTGGCTTCAAGCAGACACTCGAGACAGAAGAGCATGGACTTTTGCATGACATCGGCGCCGATACCGACCGAGATCTTCTTGTTCACTACGCATTTACCGCACAAAACGCGTCGGCAGACGTGGCACGTGCCACCGCGTTGAAGTAGTAGGTTTCCGAGCCTGTTGAGACTGCGCGTACAGTTGGCGCAGTGACCGGCCGATCCGAGACGGCCGTGCGTCGTGCGAGCAGATTTTTTCATCAACCACGTGAGTTTGTAGGCGTTGGCGCACTCGATGGAATTCACGAGAGCCATAAGGTTTTCGGCGTATGCCGTGGCTGCTACATTGACCGGCACGTCTCCATCTAGCTCCAGGAACGCACGAGAGAACATCTCGACGGACCGGTGACGGGGGTCTGCAGGTGGTAGGCCTGTGTTCGCGAACGTCTGGCACCCGGACATTTGACCACGGATGCAATCGGACGGGCGTGGAAGCTTCAACACGTCCGAAATATCTACAGATTGACGCACACCGTAGGCGACCAGCTTGCCCTTCGTGTCTTTCATGAGACCTGACGCCTCGAGAAACAGGAAATCACGGGCCTGGCTGAACCGGCCGTACGACTGGAGCCCCCACTTCAACCCGATAAAGTTGAGCGGGTGCTCCGCGTCCGGGTGTACGAGAACCGCAAGCAGACGCGAGTCCTCTAGCTCCGTTCCCAAGTACGAGTTGCGCATCATAGCGTGTGCCTCGGTGTCGGCTAGCATGCCTAAAGCGGCGTCTTCGGCTGTGCCGGTAATGATGCCGGACAGCACGACGGCCGGCGGTCGCGACGTCTTTTTAAGCCGGAGCCGATCACTGTCACCTGATGAAGCAGACGACGCGGTGCCCGTGAGTTTGTCCATGGTTGACCGATGCGTAGCCGAGTCTGAGGACGACGACGATGCCAACACGTCCGACCGGTCATGGTGCGTCACGCCGCCGTGCAACGCGCGACGCGACCGGTAGGCGCGGACGTCGTCTTTGGTTTTGACCAGCTTCCACGCCTCTTTGTCAAGTTGACGTCCGCCGGCTGCGAACGCTCCACGGAGCTCTAATGTGTGCTGGATCACCGCGTCCACCTCGGCGATTAAAGCCGCCCGTCGTTCGGGTGACAGCTGGACGTCTGGTAGTCCTGCTTCTGGGAGACTGAATCTGCCCATAACGATCGGCTTGTGTCCTCAAGGTTGTTTCGGTGAATGGAGATTGCTGTCGGGGTCGACCGGCCCAAAGGCAGAATAGGGCGTTGTGTGTCGACCTAAGACTTTCGAAGAGTGTGACGGAGACAAGAACGAAAAGAGTGGTGGGACGGCGACAATTGCCAGCGCTCTGTCACTGGCATGTGCACTCATGGAGTGATGTCTGCCTCTCGGCGTGGCGTCGCGACTGACTGGCCATCTGGGGCGTGTGACGTATATGGCGGACATCTTGAAGCGATGGATAAAGCTCAAATCCGTGAGGATGGAGGAAGTGTGCGTATGGCGAGTTACAACTACAGAGTCGTCTAGTCGAGCGGAATGGCGTTCCTACAACACAAGTACAACGTCACGACAGCTCTTGCAGCAACACAATGGGCTTATAGCACCACAACGAGTGCCACAAGAAGCAAGTCTAGAAGGGTCGATCGTAATCTATTCGTGATATATTTCAGAAACCTCGAAACTTACGATTCCACTTTGACAAAATTTGTGATAGGAGAAGGCACATTCTGCGACGATTCGATCGAAACAAAGAGACTTGAGAGATAAATAAATCAAGACAACACAGATGCAGGCGCTTGTACCAGCACCGCTAGTGAAGATCTAACGCCCCTATCGCCTCCATCCCCTCCTGCCACACGCCATAGCTACTCTCGAGCTCACAATTCGAGGTTGTGCAAAGAGCTATTACGCTCTAACCTCCGGCAAATTCAACGCATGGAAGAGAAGTTGCAGATGCTGACTCATCACTCGGAGAAGCTAATACAAGCTCGGGATGAGCTCGCCTCAATGCTCGCCGAAGAGAAAGGTGATGCAACACGCCTAGCAGTTGCAGTTGGGGCCGTCGCTTTGGACTGAGGCTACGTGATGTCATACAGTTTGATGCTGGAGGAGTGCTGCAATATAATGCTTGATAGGCACTAGTGAGTCAGCGTTAAAAGTGAAGCACGTTAATCTATTCGTTGTGATGCAAAACCAAACAGCTTTATTCTATTCCATTAGTGTTGCAAGCAGAGCTTTATCCGTAGCATTCACTATTCGATCGAGCTTGTTGGATCGAGTTGTCACTTCAGGCTGCGAAAGAATCATCCAAAGTATTGTGAGTCTCATGGCAGCAACATCATCGCGTGTGACAGCAGTTCTGGAAAAGCTGAAGCTATCTCTCAGTATCGCATACGCCTGAGCAATGCACAACACACCACACGACGTTCCGTCTGGTTTTTTTGGAGCGTCAAGCCATACTGCGCTTGATTCTAGCGGTGACTCGGTGAGCCGCATAGAGGAATTATGCCAGTTTCGCAGAAACGGTGCCACAGTCACTTCGTAAGTATCTTCCATCGCCGTTGCACAAAGGCTCATAGCAGTAGGGGGTGAAGGTGGGTGGATCATGACGGTAGTTCATGCGCACCATGATTATTCCCCAGTGGTTGTTGTTCAGGTGAACGGGCATAACAGCGTAATGGTACATCGAAATGCGCCCTACTGGAGTTATTGGGCAACCCATCGTCGGAGCGTAGGAGTCGATAGCAAAACATTCACCAACTGAGTTGCAGATACAGCGGAGGCTGAAGTCGATGATAATATCACTCAGCATCCGGTCTCTTGCCAACATGCCGACCAAATGGTCCACCTTGACAGTGGCATCGCCACCCGACAACCGAAACATGGACCCAAGGCATGCTTTGCCAAGAATTCTCGCGACATCTTCTGCAAATTCTTTGTGTTTTTCACCAGACTCACTAGGTAGCATCCCGTCCGTGTCCGTCTCTTCATCAAACAGTTCTGGGGTTGACAGGGTTTTTTCCACTTTGTCGAGAGAACCCAATCCATATCTGCCAGCCAAGCTTCGCACTTCCGACGGATCTCGTAGAACGCCTTCATGCGGTAGACAGCGCCACTAGTTCACATTTTAATTTGCATCATGTATCCAATACAAGCAACATTATAAGCAACATAGTAAGCAACACAATGAGCAACACAGCATACAGACAACAAACCTGGTGAACTTTGGAGTGCCTCCAGGAAAGAACGCGATGATCTCGTTCGTGGTACCTTCGGGGTGATCGGCTTCCGAATCGCTACCGAAATAGCTGGATTTCTTTCGTTTCATCTTCTCCGCTTCGACCACTGCGTCCAGCTTATTCACTAGGTGCTTAGGAATGACGAAGTTGTAGTCGTAGTCATCGGCGCATACATACGAACGCTGACAGCGCGCAGAACGCGCTCCCATGAAGTCGTCGTCCATGATGACTGGATAGTTTGCCATCAGCTCGCTAACGTGATACCTGTCCTTAGTATTTGGAGCCCACTCCAGTAGTCGAGATAGACATGGCACGCGCTTGTCAGGAAGTTCAATGGCTGCCAGTTTCTGTGGCTTCGAGGATGCCGCCAAGCGAGCTTGCTTTTTTTTTTCTCTCGTTGTGTCGAGGCTTAGATTGGGGAAACCTTAACACGTCTATCTGGCCTGGCTCCCGCGCCTTTTGCTTTGAGAGCTTGGCGTCTCTTGTATGGACCACTCGCTTTGTTCGGAGCTCCACAGTTTTAGATGGCTCACATTTGGCTGGAGGCGACTCCATTGTTTGCCGCCAATCCTGTGTCAGTGTCTGCGCCGTCGTTGTAAGACCCGAATTAGGTCTTTCATGGTGATTTAGCATACATTCTGCTTTGACTCTACACCTTTGCCAATCCAAACTGGTGGTAGTGTAAACCAAAACGGAGTGAAGTAACCGAAGTAACATCTAAATTTGAGGAATAATTTTACAAAATTAGTTTTTAGAGCAATGTAGATTTAGTGTAGTGCAAACTGGCAAGAACGCGAGTGACACATCCAGCAATACGAACTACGGGCGCGCTGCGGACTGGATAACACACAAAGATTTAAGGGGGCGTGAACCTGCGTATGGGCGCCAGAACACGAGAGTGTGGGTGCACACAGTGACCTCTCAGCTTGTACAGCCTGCATAATTATCGATAGAGGGACCAAGACGGCCAGCAACCCGATTAGACAGAGTACATCAAGGATGAGAGCTTTGGGCTGCGCTTGCAGATGTTAACCGGCCGTGGGGAATGGAAGGAGAGGGGTTGCAGCTCTGAGTTTGCGTCTCAAAAACGGCGCATCAGCGATTGACGTGCCATCAAGCGCTCGTGTTGGGGCTCCTTGCCTGGACGGTCAGCGTTAAGAGGAGTTCGTACACTGATAACGGCGTCCGGTGCGGGGCGCTCGTGGCTATAGCCAATGCACTAATGTAATGTACGTGGTGCATGTGCAGTACTGTAGAAGACAAGATACTCTTATCGAGGCGACCATCGAACAAGATATACTTTATCATTTTGCTTTACACTAAATCCGTATTGGTCTGGATTAATTTTGGGGATTTCTAATTTTTTAAAAAAATAAATTTCTAAATAAGGGACACTCCGTTTTGGTTTACACTACCACGAGTTTGAATTGGCAAAGGTGTAGACGATGATGTGTGTACAGCCGCAGGTGCAAAAGAAAACTCTCCGTTCTTTTCTTCTTCAAGCTGTCGAATCAACTTCATTGACTCCATTAGATCGGCGGGTGTAATTTCAGATGCACTTTCAGATGCACTATCACTCTCTGAATCGTCGCTGTCGTCGCCCGACTCTGAATCGGAATCCGCCATTTTCTGCGATGACGTGGTGTCCCTTTCTCGCATACCCCTGCGTACTATTTCCCGCCATGACTGTAGTGCCATGTAGAATTTTGGGCTAGATAGTTGAGATAGATAATCCAGCACAGGTTCAAATACAGCTTTGGCGTAGCAGTATTTTTCTTCAGAAGACAGAACGACAACATTCGCACGCTCACGACGCCGCATTTTTACGTAAATCACGCGTTTTGACAGGCGAGAAGTGTCGAGGTTGTTTCTCCAGCGGGACTGTTCTCCTGCTCCCAAACTTTAGACTCTTGCTCAACTTGTGCTGCTTCAAGAGACTCCTTTTTTGCTTCAGCGCCGTGTGTTGCTTTGTGTGTTGCTGGGCATTGAGTAAAGTCGCTGTGCGAGGATGACTCGGGTGTATCTTTCAGCTTGTCTTGAACTGACTGCAACGACGCTATCCCACGGCTGAAGGCTTCATCAAGCTTCGCCATTTCTGTCATGCTCCAACGTGGCCGAATACTCGAAGCCGGCATTTTTTCAAACTGGTGTTTTTGCGCGGCGATATACATCAGATGCTGGCAAGGTAGATGGTAGGTGCAATAAAATAGGCAGGGACAGCTCCACTGTAGACGATGATGTGTGTACAGCCCGCAGGTGCAAAAGAAAAACTCTCCGTTCTTTTCTTCTTCAAAGCTGTCGAATCAGCTTCATTGACTCCATTAGATCGGCGGGTGTAAATATCAGATGCACTTTCAGATGCGCTTTCATTCTCTGAATCGTCGCTTCCGTCGCCCGACTCTGAATCCGCCATTTTCTGCGATGACGTGGTGTCCCTTTCTCGCATACCCCTGCGTACTATTTCCCACCATGACTGTAGTGCCATGTAGAATTTTGGGCTAGATAGTTGAGATAGATAATCCAGCACAGGTTCAAATACAGCTTTGGCGTAGCAGTATTTTTCTTCAGAAGACAGAACGACAACATTCGCACGCTCACGACGCCGCATTGTTACGTAAATCACGCGTTTTGACAGGCGAGAAGTGTCGAGGTTTTTTCTCCAGCGGGACTGGTTCTCCTGCTCCCAAACTTGAGACTCTTGCTCAACTTGTGCTGCTTCAAGAGACTCCTTTTTTGCTTCAGCGCCGTGTGTTGCTTTGTGTGTTGCTGAGCATTGAGTAAAGTCGCTGTGCGAGGATGACTCGGGTGTATCTTTCAGCTTGTCTTGAACTGACTGCAACGACGCTATCCCACGGCTGAAGGCTTCATCAAGCTTCGCCATTTCTGTCATGCTCCAACGTGGCCGAATACTCGAAGCCGGCATTTTTTCAAACTGGTGTTTTT